AAAGAAATAAATAAATTACACTTTTTCATTTCGGTATTTTGATTTGACAATCGTAGAGAATATTTTGAAAATAAAATCATTAAAAGTATTAAATAAAACAGGCAATTACACGAGGTATTTAGTAAGACAGTTGTTCATAATGACTGTCAATTTAATCGTTATAAACATAAACTATACATTACGGCTGACGGGTATTTATTCTCAATGTAAAAATTATTAATCTAATTATTGAGTAAGACGTTTTAATAGCTATGGTTTTACCCACAGTATTTTTAATATCAGTATTTGTATTTAGTGTAACGCGAATAAACACTACTGGCTCGGTTTATAACTTAACCATTATCTACATCAAATTGAAGGGTTCCCCGGGTAAAAGACAGGTAATGCATTATTTTTTTTTATGACGTGATTATCTTTTCTGTAGGTGCAACTGTCTTTCTGACCGAATTAAATAATGTAAAAAAAACAGTCCCCTGGTAATCTATTTCAAATCATTTTAGCCTAGATGCATTGTGTATACCAGTTTTGTACTTTATGAGGATTAATGTTAAGAAGAAACTAATCATATTTTTTAATGAGTTTAAAATTTTAATCAAGTTTTACCAAATTTAATCATGCCCTTCTTTAGAAGATATGGATATACTCGTAGACTATCGATTTTTATAATTATAAGTTTTTTTTTTAATGCAATCAATTTCTTATGAAACTTATTTTATGCACTGCGACACGGGTACTGATTTTACGATTTCACTGTCAACGGTGAAACCACATACATTTTTTTTATATTGCTATCATTCTTGAACGTCAAATAAATTATTTAAAGTTTTTAGATTGTTTAACAGCTATTTATGAAACCAGTTACGAAATGCCTTATTTTATGTAACGAATGAATATTTGCGGGACGAGCAGAGCATAGAAGTTCAGCCATTAACTGAGATAACTCATCCCATTTTTAATTGAGGAGGTTCTCAATTCGTCGCAATATTTTTATGTATGTTCAGCAATAATTCTTTAACACGGTGTTCGATTTCAATGATTCTTTTTTTGTTAGAAAGGGGGTATTTCAGGGATGGTCCCATATCAATTTGGTCAAAATCTAATAATTGGGTCTATTAGAAAATCCTCAAACTCTTCATTTTTTATGTATGTTTAGCTTTACCACCTTGTCCGATTTATATGATTCTTTTTTTGTTAGAAAGAGGGTACCTCAGGGGCAGTCCCATATAAATTTGGTTTAGATGTGGTGACGCTGTTGAAATCGGTTTTTTTAATTTTTAATTTCTAATACTTGTTGGATTTGCTGGTGCGCATCTAATTTTGACTTGCCATCAAAATCTTGTCGTGATGTGAATTATTTTGTAAAATAAAAGTTTTGATCCAATTAGGTCCATTTTATAAAATAATTTATTTGGAATTGATTTTTAATTTAATTAATAACAACTTACTACTAAAAATTACAATTTGAATTTACCGCCATTTGTCAATTGTCATTGTTCTTACTTCAAAAACAAGGTGGCGCTAATATGGTGGCGTGGGGGTCTCTAGATGATAGGTACTTTGTAAGCAAAGAGCCCGGCAAGCTTAAAAGGTAGAGATTTCAAATATTTTTACACAGTTGAGCTTAATGAGTCAAGCGCCAAATACTTTTAGATGGGCAGCATAGCCCTCAGAAGGTCTAGATACCGCATCGTAAAAACATTTTGACCCCCCATATGATGGGCGCCATGATAAATAAATGTCAATAAATTTTAAGTTGGCGCTTCTGACAAGACAGAATCGGCACAAGTTTAGTAATAAGCGTAAGATCGGCGTTCGACGTATATAATCGATTTTATTATCTTTTGTGTTGTTTATTTTGTTCTTCTAGTAAAGGTTTTATTTCAAACATTATTTTTTAGTTTAGTCGTTTAGTGTTTTATTTTAATAAAAAACATTTGTGGTTTGGTGTTAAATTTTTACAGGATTTTCAAAATCTCTTGTTGTTTTGTACGTGAATGTAACAATGCATCCAACGGTAGAAGATACAAGGAAGGAATAACATTTCATGTGTAAGTTTTCAAAAATATTTGTATATTTTCAAAATCAAATAATTTGTGTTTTGTTGTAGCATACCAAACAATTTTAGGAAAGAATAACTGATAGCCATAGGAAGACCATTGAATCATTTTGTGACTTTAGTATAAGTCCAGAAAATTTGGGGATACTAGCTGAAACGGCAAATGTGTTATTGGCTCCTTGTTAGTGACCTATTGTACAATTTTTCCAACACACGTTCCATGATTCTTTGAACTTGGCTGCACCGTACTGATGAAGACCAATAGTCAGAAAAACGTGTCGACCGTTACTTCTTTTTTACTTTTTTTTATTCGGAAAATGTCCACTATTACTACCTTGATACAATAATATTAGTTCCGTTCTAAGTAGGTACATATTATTGTTTGTATGTTTTATGCTTTATTTTATTACATGTAATAAATGATAGGAAATATACTTTTATAGTAAATAAATTGATTAAAGTAATATGTAAGAATAAGTTTATCTAAGGATTAAATTGTTAAAGCAATTTTTCATATCCATTGTTTATTAATTTGTTTCATTTAATTCTTTCTTATTGAGTAAGTTATTTCATATAAATATGCGATACTTGTAAAATGTAATATTTTCTTTTAAATAGGTATATATTACGTTTGTATAAAATATTGTTCAGTTAATAAAAACAGAAATATTTTGTCTTTTATTCAAAAGAAGATTGTAAATTTTTCAAAATATATTTACCTACCCCAAAAAAAGATTAATAAAACCAGTTAGTCATATACACATTTTCTATATATTTATAGAGGTACTTTTTAAATAACTTTCAATACATTCGAAATCTGTGGTTTTATTAAACTCAATGTAACAAATAATAATAGGTATTCTCAAAAATATTTAAAAATAAAATCGAGATGGGACTCTTGTATAATTTAGTGACTATTCACCTATGGTTAGTGCACTGCTGTATGTCCCTGGGTTTTCTACATTAGAACAATACTGCTTCTCCACTCTAGCAGTATTTTTTACATCTCACAAGATTATATTTATTAAAAAACCAAGGAATTGTTTTGGGCCTATTGCTGTGCCCTTTTCCAACATCCCCAAAGTTTTTTTTTTACTTTCTGCTGATTGGATCTCCGATAGCGACAACTCCATTTGTTGTTCCACTAGTTTTTTATCAAATTTTTAAAATAACTTCTATATATTTATCTTTTGCAACGACTTTGCTTACCTGCTTCATAATCTCTTCCCTATGCCCCAATTTCTCTAACAGGTGAGATCTTATACTCGCTCTATTAAATCAAATTATCATTATAGTTTATTTGAAAATGCTTGGTAGCACAGTTTTTATGGCAAAGGTCCATATTTTTATATAATTTTGCTATTATTCATTTTCAAATAAACTATAGGAATAGGAGTAATCTATTAGTTTTTCTAAAAATACCTTGTTACCGATGTAAGTATATCTTTCCCTAGTTAAAAAATTCATTCATTTATTTTCATAATATAAATAAATGACCGGTTAACAATCACATTCTTTTAAATAGTACATTTGACAATGAAGTAGGTATTTTCTCCATATTGCCAAACAGGAACAGATGGTTTACTTGTAATTTGAATTATATTACATAAATCTCACTGAATTTCTCTATAATTCTCATAGCAATATGTACACAAAACACTTATCCAATAATATATATAATCATGTAAAAATAACATTTCAAGAACGAGAAAATGTATAAAACCGGTCCTGTCTGAACAGATCTAAGAAAATCAAATAGGTTTGTCAAAGTTTTGTTCTTAATTTGAAATTAGAAATTGTGCGTCTCACTCACTTATAACTAATAACAAAGTGCAGATTATCGGTGTTCACGTATTACAGAACACACAAACTAAAAATCAGTGTAGCCAAAACATAAATTACCTAACATGGCGACAAGCTTGAATGGGGTCATTTTTTTGTATTGACAGCATACGCCAAGCGGTATCTAGACTTTCTGAGGGCTATGATGGGCAGACATGCGGTGCAAAGGAGATAAATACTTGTTTTTTACTTGGACGTGATTTAAGGGGTAAAGAATCCAAATATTTTTACATGGACACACAAATATTATTACATGAGCAGGCGTAATGGGAAAAATGACTAAATGTTGTTACATGGGTAGACTTAAGAGCAACAGGGCCCAAATATTTTTAAATGGACAGGCTTAAGAAATAAAAGACAAATATTTTTACATGGGTAGACTTGAGGAAAAAATTGAAAAAATACTTTTACATAAGTTGCTCAAACAATTTTCAAACTCTAATAAAAAAACAAGTAAGGGTTCTTAAAAACATCTACGTGGTTTAGCTTAAGCAATGTCAAAGCTTCACAAACCTGAAAATTTAACGTATCGATACTTCTTATCGTCTTTCGTTAAAAATCAAATCGTTCTTGTTTATTTTATGCTACGAGTTGGCACAAATTTAGGATCTCTCGAATTTTTAAATGATTTTAGGGCGAACGTTTTACCAAATGTTTTACCCCATTTTGTGATACTGGTTAATTTTTAATTATAATACTTTTTTATTTAAAAAAAAATACCTTAACTGTTATTTTTCTTCTATCAAAAATGGTCCATAGTCTATAAGAACAATCATCAATTTTACTTTAATAAATCTTAAAGATTGAATATGGCAATACTGTTCATACTGTGATGTCCTATGTCCAATTGAGTCAAACTCTTACACAAATAAATATCGTACCATCATGTAATAAATACTAACACAACTAGTCTGTATGTTTACAAAGAGAAAAAAACTAGCATAATTTGCTATCATTACGTGATAGTGTTGAATTTGAGTTTTGTGTACTTTTTATATCTAGTTCGGGCCTTAAATCAAAGATTTTTCGAGTTGCGTTAGTATTGTATTAATAGTGCGATATACAAATTTAATAATTAATTAATTTCTATTATTGTACTCACTGTGGTTTCTGTGTGACCGCCGAAAGGTGCCGCTTGGTGGGAGGACGCACCTCCTTGGCCATACTGTTGTCCAGCATTCTGCATGAGGCACTAGAACAAATAAAAACACAACTATTAGCACCTAGTTGAAACGTTACATGCAAATGACTGAATAGAATTAAAGTGTATCGATAACGAAGACTTTTAAAAATTCAACGGTACGCTATATAAAAATAAAAAGAAGAATCAACATAGTTAAAGATGATATTATTACTGTTAGTTATTCAGGATTAAAATATCATCTAATTACGCAATTATCTATTTTCATGCAGAAATGTTGTTCTAGGTTTAAAGAAAAAATAAGCAAAAAAAGGTTGAAACAGTAGGTTTCTGGCAACTTCGGTAAATAATCTTAGGAATTTATTTTGATTGTAATGATAATGATGTCAAAAATGTTTTGTATTAGAAAATTATATTTTTTAACCAAAAATTGTTTTATATCAAATTTACATGGATTTAAATATTACGTTTTGTTTCTACTTATACTTGCTCACACATATTATTTATGTAAGTACATACTAAGCAGTCAGAAAAGACTCAGTCCTGCCATGCATACGGGCAGATCTCTCTAGCAAAATAATAAACACCGCACAAAAATTATTGCATCACTAATATTTCAAATATTTTGGCCATGTATATTGAATCTTTGTAATTACATAAATCATAAATAAAATTTCTCATTTTAAATCAATATGTACAGGGTAAATAAAGAATGCCAAGAACGGTCGCCTGGTTTTCGGTATACTGGCATATGTCTGTCTGAAGAGAACAAACAAAATCTGGACTCATCTGTAAAGAGGATATTGGACCATTTTTCTACACCCCATCCAGCATGGTCTCTAGCAAATTGTAAACGGCAAACTCGATGTTCTCTGGTAAGACGCGGGCCATTGGCTGGAACCCTTAAACGTATATCATGCTCTCGAAGACGATTAAATACGGTTTGTACGCATTTCGGCAGCTAAAAGGTCATTCTGGAGCATTCGAGCAGTGAAATATCGTGTTCTTAGGGCTGAAAGTCGTAAAAAACGATCATTTAGAGATGTTGTAACTCTAGGATGATCTTGGCCCTCTCTTCTAGAGTACCGTCCAGTCTCCCTATGCCTTTGAACAACTCTTGAAATGGTACTCTGTTGTACACCCAATAAATCCGCCACGTACCTTTGACTTCGCCCATCTTCAATCAGCGCAATTACTCTGACGGCCTCTTCATCTGTCAAATGGCGAGTTAAACGTTGTGGACCAGCCATAGTATACACCTTTATCGTACAACTTAAAATCAAAGCAGAAAACACAGAAATGAACAGCATAATTGCAAAGTGGAATGTATGCCTATCCGCATTCGCCCGAAAAAGGTAAACAAGAACCTAACAAAAGAAGAAACGACCAGTTTTTTGACTCGAGTTTATCAGTAAAGAATGCCCATTCAGGAAATAATTAAGAAATTTTAAAAATAAATTTACTGTAGCCAAAATATTTAAAAGCATTGGTGATGCGATAATTTTTGTGCGGTGTGTATATTGGGCTCTCTAGGCATGCTAGAAGTGGGTGCTTGTGTTACTTATATATAAATATAAAAAATGCATGTACACTAAAATTAAAGTTAAATAAGTTTAATTCAATGATTTAAAAAATACGTGTGGCACTCGGGGACTGCCTCGGTAAAGCTATTGCATAGCATTTTTTATCAACTCATGCAATTATAATTATTTATTTAATGCAGTTTTTTTTCTTTGATATTAATTCAAGTTTTTTCTTTGATATTAATTCAAGTTACACTTTTTGAGCGTGGTGACCGATAAGAAAACAAATTTTTTTCTTTTATTGAATAAATGAGAAGTTTATTTATTATCTTACATGTAGGTTATTCAGGAATTTTTATCATTGAAACTATAGGTTTATGGTAACTGAATTAAGAAACATAAGTTTGAGACTTGATATTCTCTAAATATCTGGAAAATACCGCGTCAATGGTGGTCCCATATTTTGTTGTGGATTCTTGTGGATCATTATTTATTTTCAAATTCAATTTTTCCGAAATTGTGTCTAAGAAAGATAGAATCAGTTATGAGCAGTTAGCAGCTAGTCTACACGCATAAGTCTAGTCGCACGCACACAAATATCATGCCGAAGTCTGCCAAACTGAAACGACGTTAGACGATGCACGGCTTTCAACGCCGCACCGCTGTGCCAGTCGGAGTGGGGGGTGTTAGGTTTATTTTCGTTACGGAATTTCTTGATTCGGTCGCCGCGCTCAAAGCCCGCGATAAAATCTATGCAATAGCTTAATAATGAAATAGTTAACACTGATAAAATAAAAATTAATATTTTATAAATCTTGCAAAAAAAATTAATATCTAATATTTACGCCAGCCGGGAACATTTGTGATACCAATTTATTAGAAGCCAGAGAAAGCTCTTCTAGTTCTTGTATTGCATAAACGTCCCAGTCCGCAGACGTATATTTAACTCCGCTTCATACTAATACGAATAGGGTTGGATAAAAACTTCCACGGCTTTTAACGCCGCACCGCTGTGCCAGTCGGAGTGGCGGGTGTTAGGTTTATTTTCGTTACGGAATTTCTTGCTCAAAGCCAGCGATAAAAGCTATGCAATAGTAGCTTAATAAACCCAGTTTTCTTCTGAGTCGAAACCTTTTCGGTGCTTGACGGGCGAACGTTTTGAAGATATAGGCCGTCGCCAGTGTTGCCAGTACCAAAGAAACGATTAGCGCAAAACTCCAGCATAAAAAGCGCAATTTTTGATCAAAAAGCGCAACTTTATTACCAATATAAAAAAGCCAAAATATTGCCTCAAATACGATTTAAAATCACAAAATAGAGAATTTACGGCAATTCCCAAGTAATCACTCTATATTCAATACGTTTTTATTGACATACAAATTTTCTTATAAGTGTATTTGTCTGTTTATAAGAGTAAAAAGGAAAAATGTAAAAAGGAAAAATATAAAATATCATTACCAGTCGCCTTTGCAGGTAAAAATCACAAAAAAGGCGCAAAAAAGCAGAGGGCCCAATAATATCGCAACAGATAGACAAAAAGCACAAATGTTGCGCTTTTTGCGTCTAATTGGCAACACTGGCCGTCGCGCTTCGGTCGGAGTCATCCCTGACCATAATAATAGCTTTGTTCGGATGTTCGGGGAGCCTGTCGGCGACATGTTTACGACAGATGAGTATGCGCATTTCGATTTTTAGCGTGCGTAGAGCCGAAAATCGAACGCTTAAAACAGCTTGAAATCGAAATGCGCATGCTCATCTGTCGTGGACATGTCGCCGACAGGCTCCGCGAACAAAGCTACCAGTAACATCTGAAGTTTTTGAAGAATATTCAAAATGTAGGAAAGCAACATGCTGATTAAATATTTGTCTTCAACTTCTGCTCCATTGGAAATATAAGAGAAAACGTCACTGTCATTTTTTATTAATATTTTAATTAGGTTTTTGTTTGTTACAGGTTCGACGATATTGTCCGATTAAATTTTAAGACCAATTTTGCAGAAACCAAAAATGATGTCTTTTTTCATGTATATAAAAATGTTCAGTTTTTTTTATAATATTTTTAGTAAATATATGTTTTTCTTTATCAAATAAAATACCTACTTTGCTAAAAAATAAGCTTTTTTTTCAAAAATTTCTTTATTAATTTTTTTTCCTTATGCAAGTACCAGTTTTAAATTGGGGTCAACTGTGACCCCATAATACCTGTTACGTTAGACGGTTAATGTGTAGCAAGCTCTTATTGTCGACAGCAACCGCACATAGTGGTCCGTCTATTTCTGCCCTTTAGAATTGTGTTTATTCAATTATGGTTTGGAGATAGACGGGCCACAATGTGCGGTTGCTGTCGACTGCACAATGCAGTTGCATTTTGTCAGTCCACAATAGCAGCTGCAGCCATCTTACTGTACTAAACTCTAAACTGTGGAGTGTCAAGCGACTTCATAGTGCAGTAGACAGCAACCGCATATTGCGGACCGTTTAGGTACGTTTTTAGATTGTTTTTCCATTATTTTGAAATGGATTTTTTTCATTTTTATTTAATATTATTTTTACTATTCTTTATTTATCCAAAAAGCAATTCTCATGAAAAGTTTAACCCGTTGACTTGTAAAGTTGTATGAAGGAAAGATACATTATAAAATGATTAAAATTGAATATTCATTATTTAGGTGTAGGTTTAGTCTTCTTACAATCCTCTTCTGTGACCTGCAGCTGCTCCAGAAAGCTTTTAAAAGCTTTATGTGTAGAAGACAAGATTAGAAGTCTTGCGTATTTTGGGTTGAGGATAGTTCTTGACCAATTTCGCTTCGTTCCGAGATAGCTTCCATTTTCGGAGGTCTGTTTGTAATTGTAGCTTGTATTTATTTTTTAATTACCTGTTGTAACTTTTCTGACCGAAAAATTTTATGACAGTCTTAGACATTTGATAATGAACGATTGAAATTTTTTGAGATCTTTCAATCTGCGAAAGAAAGCAATTATTGGAATTTTTCTAAAAATAAAGTAGTTTCTGTGGCCTACAGAAAATCTTACATAGGTATAGACCGTCAGATAGTGACAAGTTTAGGTGCCTCATTTTCACATACAAGCCTCGAACAGAGTTGAAAAGTACATCGATTTTAAGTAGAATGAAAGGAAATTTACGAGTGGCTCCTGGGATAACACATGAAAAATTCGATTTTCTCTAACAAAAATAAAAAGTTATTTGTTGCCCATATTTCCACGCAAGCCATTTTCAATAAATTATTAATTAATGGAACTAGGTTTCGGAAAACCAAAGGCTTTAATATTGCAGGTGGCCAAAGGGTTGAAATAAGGGCGTAATCTTCTAAGGAAAAAAATCGAGATTTTATCCAATTTTTCCAAACAAGCCCATCGAATGTATGAAAACGTACATCGTCACTAGTCCGAAAAACATATTTTCTTGAATGACCTGAATGTATAAGTGCATTTTGGGGTCGGAAAAATTGTCTGATAAGAAAAATCGAATTTTCCATGTGTTATCCCCAAGAGCCACTTGTAAATTTT